AAGAGGTGTGTTTTATTTTTCAAAAATAACTTTTCTCTCCTAACTTAACTTTCAACTCTAGAAGTCAATCATTGATAAGCATCGTCTTCAATGCACTCTGACTGCAACATGAGGTTGTTATCCTCAAAAAGAACTCTCTGAATAAAAGTCTCACACAAATAATTTGAATACACTTTAATCTACTCATTTGTTTTGTTAACACTTTTTATTTTGATATTATTTCGTGTTTCCTTAATTGACCCTTTCCACATTTAGTACAGATGTTTGTCCGGTATCAAGGAGAGATTCCTAAAGGTTTCCTCGAACACAAATTCCTTGGAAAACATTCCGTGCCTCTTAAAAGTGGTCGTAAAATAGAAGTGGTCTTTCCTGGGGTTATCACTGCATATTTATTTTATGTGTTGCAACATAATGTTAAGATTTTTAATGTGTGATGCTTTTTTACATCTCTAATTCATAAACTATAATTTCTATAAAGTGATCGATGCATTTTTTAAAAATATTTCCAAACAGTTCTTCAGACTGTCGTGTGTTGAAAAAAAAACTGCTTTTGAAACGTTAATAGTAAACCAATTTGTTCGTTTTAAAGTAGAAAGGAACAACGTAATAGATTTTAATTAGAACGGAACTGAAAAAAAAACTGTACCACTTAGAGAAATGATCAGTTTCATTTAATTAAAAGATTGCAGTGGATTGTTTTTTGAAGGCACGTGAAACCATTTAAATATTCTGCCTATTATTAAGAAACAGAACTGTTTTCCCTGTTATAGAGCGGAACACGCTAATAAGAGGCGAATTCCCGGTAATTTAACAGCTTTAATTTTAAACAATACGGAACAAAAAAAAGTTTTCGATTTTTTATCACCTTTTTTGTGCGCTGATTTAAAAAATACTTTTTTTCCACCAATTAAAATTGTGTATGACTCTGTTCTAAAACAAACAGACATGAAAGCACTCTTGCAAGTTGAAGTATTTTGAATAAATATATAATTGTAAAAAAGCGTTGATCTCAATAAATGGTCATAAAACATTCCTCTTTCTTTTGAATATACTTTTATAAAAATTATATTGAATACAAAAAATGCAAAAATTAAATTATTGAAATGTTCATATAAAAAAATTTCTAGTTATATATAGTTAACTCCGAACACTGTGAAAAATAATATTTAAATAAATAACTGTATTTGTATAGAGTAGTTACTTATGAAGTTTAGTGATGTTAGTAATGTTTTAAGAAAAAAAATTACTATGTTTTATTGTATCACAAAGATGATAATTGGGAAATTATCTCACATGAAATGTATATCTTATCTTTTTTCAGTGCCTTATGCATATATTTTTCTTTTAATAATGATTTTCTTACTCTCACCTTATAACGCTCTTGAAATTTTTGTCAATAATATTAAACTTCAATTAACTTATCATTTTATCAATAATAATGAACTTTGATCAACTAGTTTTTATTTTTCATAACAAACTCTACTTTAACAAAAACCTTAAAGAAACTTACCTAGTGTGTAAATCATTTGAAACTTTAAAATCGAAACTGTTTTTTTATATTTTTTTACTTCCTAAGTACATACTTATCTCTGATTGTTAAGTATCAATTCGTCTGCTTTATGACGTAATAACCCTTTCTACATTTACTGAAGTTACAGTTATAAGTAATAAAAGTATACTCTATGAATTATGGGCATTATTATTGCTCTTTTAAAAAGCTTTTCCTTTTTTTGGACTATAAGCGAAGCAGTAATAAAGGCAACAATGATTGTTTTCTTATTTGATAGATGAGTTTCTTAACATTTAAAAGATACCATGAAAACTTATTTCACAATTTTAGTTTGAAAGTACGAAGATTTCACAAAGTTAATTGCAAAAAAGACTTATAAATTTTAATAATTTTCAAATTTTTAATAGCTATAATTGAAATTCGTAAGCCAATTTTGATACCAGTTGTATGCATCGTTTTATACGTTTATTTTAAAACTATGGCAGAAATGTATGAAAAGAAAATACGCAGGATAAGGTGGGGAAAAGTGTTTATAAAATCAAGATTCTTTTTAAAGAAGTCTCTAAATCCAAACTATTAAATTTATTTAAATTAGTATTTTTTCCCATTTTTTCTGATATTAGACGTAAGTTCATCAGCAGGTTAAACTATCAAGTTGATCATAAACAGATAGTTTATGAACACTAAACTTTTGATCAGTTACTAAAAGTGAAGCAAAAATATCCCAATAAAAATCTTTAAAAATTATAAGCAAAATATCTGAATTTAATAAGCGAAAATGGATATCTTTTAATATATCCCCATTATACCCCATGTCCTCACTTTCGCCCATGTCCTCACTTTACCCCACCTGACTTTGAAATATCGATAGTTTCAAAATCAAAAATAGGAAAATATTAATTTGTCCATATTAAAATTTTGATTAAAAAAATTTTTAACAGTGAAAATATCAGTTTTAATGTCAAGAAAGCAACGTCTGAAATTTAAATACATTCGAAAATGAGGCAAAGTATATTGTTAAATATTATATACTTATTATTCTAATCCGTTTTCCACTTATTAATTTCATAATTATTAAGCAAACCAGCAAATTTCTCTTTCACTACTCTTCTTTATTTACTAATTAAAATAATCGTCAATAATTTGCGGCCAAAACTAAAAACTTAAAGGGAGAAAGAGAATTAATTTTAGGGTATTAAAGAAAATCAGGATTTTTTCTTTTTTAAAGAATTCGGAATTCTTTATAATGATATGAGTATTTAAAAATATATGAGTTCAGTTTTTCAATAAAAAAACTAGTCTTATTAAAGACTAGATTTTTTATTAAAAAACTGAACTCACATATTTTTAAATTTATCTAATTTTCATGAAATTGATTCATCTTTTGGTGTAGGGGAAATGAAAAATGGATGGACTTTTCAATCTCCAATGAACTATTTTACAATTTACTATATTAAATTTGCAAAACAATAGTAAAATAATAATTTAATAATGTAAGACTACAAAATATGTTACCAAAACTTTGTAGCATTAATAAAATTTTAAACTCCATTGTATGATAGTTTCATGTATTGATGTCTGAGGAATGCATGAGAAGATACCTTGCATGAAAATTCTTAAATTATTTTCTTACAATAAAAATATTCTGCTTTTCACTGTTCCTCTAAATAAAATCTAGTTAAAGCACCTTTAAGCTTTATAAATGATCTTAATCATTGCTTTTTACTTTAATTTTGTGAATCAAAGGTTTTTTTTAATAATATATATATATATATACATATATATATATATATATATATATATATATATATAGATTTTTAACTGGTACATCAATCTAATAACTTTCTAATGAGCTGTGCGTCATTTGATTAACATAAAAATTTTTTGCTTAAAGACAATATTTATTACAAAACCTTGAAAATGATAGTTTTAACAATATCTATGATTGTAGTTTGAGCCCAATAGTTTTAACAATATCTTTAACTAAATTTTGGACTATATAACTAAACATATAACTATATAGAACTAAATTTTGGAGACAACGGTTTTAACAACATCTGTAACTAAATTATTTTTACAGCAACATCTACAACTAAAACTAATAACTAAGGTCATTTTGTTTGAAGAATATTTGTCTAAAAATTGTTCACTTCTTCACGAAATTTTCTTTTCTATCACGGTTTTTCACCGTTAAAAAAGAAGAAATAATTCAGTTTTTCGTTCAAATTTATTCATTTATACGCGGCATTTAATTATCTTTTACCATGAGGTTATAGAATTATCTTTTCCCACAAGATCCAACAAAAAAAATCAAAATTCGTATCAGAATTCAGAATTCTTTTTTCAACGAATCATTTCTTTTTCAAAATTAAGTTGTATAGAAATAAAAAAAATTGATTTTTACTTTTTATATTCAAGTGTAAAATCATTTTAAATTATTATATTCAATACGAGAAGAATTCCAGGTAAACAATTTTTTGTATCTGTTTTACGATTTCGGTAGTGACATTAGAGAGCAAAGTGAAAAATGAAAGCAGATAAAAGTGGATGCATGTGAAAGACTGGTAGGGGAATAACCACCACCAGCAGAAATGCATCATCAAAATCAGAGGTCGGAAAAACTACATTATTTTTGTAGTTTAATACAACTACAGCTACTTCGTCACAAATGCAGTTAACAACTTTTTTTTAGACTGTTGTGACTACAAACTACTTTGGAATTTAGTAACTACTTCACTACTTTAAGGAGACGAAATTTGTTGGATAGCTTAATTTACACATTATGTTCAAAATGATTTTGAATAAGAAATTGGCTTACATTAAATATAAGGGAATAATTAAGAATTATTTATTCATGTTTACATGAGCCACCTTGTTATTCCAAAACATTGTTTTTTCGAATGTATTCATTTAACCTTCAACTTTATATGCCTTTTTCGACAGTCAATATTTCATTTAAGAACTGCTAAACTTTCAAATACTTGCAATTTTCTAATTGTTTAATGCTCTTTTATTTCGTCCAAGGAATTTACTGCAGCGAAAATAAGTTCCCTTCATTTGAAATAACATCCATATTTCACGAGTCTGCATTCGCGTGTGAATGTATCACCGAAGTAATTAGTTATCTATTTCTCGTAATGGCTAGTTTAAAAAATAGTTATGCGTGGTTTTAAATACGTAATTCCCGTCAGCTGCAGCCACATGGTCATTTTCATTGCATCTATTGACGGACCAGCAAAGATTTATACTCCTCAAATTCGAAACAATTAGTTGCGTTAGAGCAGTGTTACTGTTCTTAACTAACGTTAAAAGTAGTCACTAGAAATCACTACAAACTAATGTTTTTTTTTTTTGTTTTTTTGCATCGCACTGCTGACTACAAACTGCAAAAAAAAGTAGTGACTACTTATGATGCGCCACTTCCGACCACTGATCAAAATACAATACAACAAATGCTTATCATTCGTTATTAATTAAAGAATGAACTTACCTCCAGTTTCTGTGAATATTCCTCTGCCAACCTTTCATTTGCTCGGCTGATTTCTTCATTTTTCTCGAGCAGGGCTTTCCCCAGTTCAGCGGCCAGTACGAGATCTTTCTCTCGCTGGGCCAACTGCGTGTAAACATCCCCTTCCTCAACGTCGGCCCCACACTGGGCCGCCCTCTTCTCCACCTCCCCCAAGTATTCCTCTAAGTCACCATAAAATCCGGACGAAGTTTGTTGCATCTCTGTCAAGCTGCATCCGGACATTCTTCGGCATCGCACACTAGTCACAGGTTCGAGACCCGCCGCCGGCAGAGAATACGAAACGTTCTCATCTGCTGAAGAGTTTGTTGCATTCTTTAGAACACTCGTTGCACAGTTTTCACAAGTTTCGGGAAAATCACTAAATTAATCCATTTGTGCACTATTTAATCCTTTAATGGAAGTAGCTCAAAATAAAACAAATCCGTACCGTGAAAGGAAGGAGAAAAAAACGGTAACTTGAAAAACTTTTAATTTAATGAATAATAAAATGGTGAGGGAATAAAATTTTAAAAATCAAATTATCACCCGCAATTAAATTATTTAAAATCAAATTATCGTTTGATTTTTCGTTTATAGTTATTGCCAATTTTAACTTAACGGCAATAGAATTTCAAGGAAATTATCGAACACGGTGTAAGTTCACTGCTTCGAAATCGATGAAGCGCGTGTGTTTTGGTTCGAGAGAGAAACTCGCTCAGGTAGATGTTGACACACCGAAGTCAGCTGTAGCACTGGTCGTCAATGGTAACCAGGTAAGTAAACGAGAAGGGAAGCTAGATGGGAAGAGGGGGAGAGACAGGCAGTTTCCGCACAGCTGACAGAGTTTCTTCTCCATCCGGCTCTACGTCACAAAAATGGAAATAAGGAGAAAAAGGGCGCTCAAATCAAAACGGCTTTCGAAAATTGCAACAAACACATTTTCGCCAAAGCTTTTGAAAATAACCTATTGGGCAAAAATATAAAAAAAAGAAGAAAAAATACATTTTATTTCATTAATTTATTTCTTGAGTAATTTCGTTTGATTAATTTCATTAAAAAATTATTTATTTTATAATTTATTTATTTAATACACTTTATAACTTACTTATTTAATATATTTTATAATTTATTTCATATTAAATATATTTATTTAATTTATAAATTAATTTGCACCAATTTCAATATTTATTTGCGGATTTTATTAATTTTTATTTTAAATTTTTTCTGGTACGAATCAGAATTTTCAAGATTGTGTCAAAGAAAATCATATCTGAATGAAACTTTGCACAAAAAAACGATGATTTTTTTACAACTTTTAGTAATGAAAATTGTTTTTTTTTCCCTCTTTATTCGTTTATTTATGTACTATTACTTAACTTGTTTATTCTTTTCATTCAAATGGATAAATTGTATGTTTCTCATTAAAATTAATATCAATGAATGTATTATTTATATCTGTTTTATTGCATTCGGCAAACCTAATGTTCTTCTTCGTAAAAAAATTAGCAAAAAAAAAATAATTAATAGAATGTTATGTCACGAGAAGTATATGGGGGCATATGAGAGAAAAATGCATTGAAATTATGTGAAAAATAAATTTTAAAACGATACGCAGTGTCAAAACTGCGGAGTACTACCTATCCCCATGTGTATCCCCATGTGTACTACCGATCCCCTTTTAATCCCTTCCATTATCATTTTTCCCAGTGGTATTAAAATGGAATTAAAACTTCAATTTTAAGCAAACACATACGTTGCATTTGAAAAAACTTAAGTTGACAACCATGATAGTAACGCATATTAATATATGCGCTTAATTTTTGTAAGAATAGTGGTGATCAATATCATTTAAAAATTAAGTTTATAAAAGAAAAAATAGTATATATTTACTACCACTTTAAATATGAAAATAAAATCTTCCGGAAAATCCGGAAGAGTTGGCAGGTATGCCATTCATTATTTTCGCCAATTTTGGCGCAAGTTTGGAGTCATCAGACGACAACGGTTGTTTACGAAGCACGAGAAGGGAAAAGTTTGAAATCCGCAAAAATAGGCGTTAAAAGGCACGTATATTTTTAGTTGAGTAAAAAAGATGAAAATTGTTTAAGAATATTTACATAAATCTGTCAATTGAATTAAATAATTATGTAATATTTAGTTTCTATTTACTTTGGTTTAATAGATGAGACACCAATCTTT